CACCTTGTGTCTCGTCCTTTCATAGCTCCCAACTCTAGTCCTTATCTACTCCACTGAATCGAGAGATGAGAGCAAAATTTATCTGACGTGTTCCTGGAAAAGCGTATACCAAATTCTCTGTTGGTTGATCTCCACTCAGGGCGCGACAGAATAGAAGCTCATACAGGAGATTTCTAGGCTGCCACTAGGGTTGGCCGACTTGGCAGGGTCATCAGATGCCCTTAGAAGTTCACAGTAGATTCTCTCGACGCTTCCCTTCCAAGCTTGTGTGCATAAACCGTCGCATGAAACGAACCTCGGCATTCAGTGATCCAACAAGCTCGACGTAGGACGAAAAACGATCTCGTCGGCCCTCTTTGATGGAAGAGCTAGAAGATTCGCAGACTGCCTTGGATGCTGTAGATAAGGAATGTTGTCGCGAGCCCATTCGAGTAACCCGAGTGTTCATAGTATCGTTTCGGCCACTCGATCAAGGTACAACGAGAATATGATTGTCAAAAGCTGCCGTTATACGAGCCCGGGCTCGAATATTAGAGAGAATACCCAACTTTTGGCTACAGGTTGGTGCTAGCAGCAATAGAAAGGCAGCCCTGCCACGTGCTTCCAGGTCTTCACGGCTCATCCCTTGGTGCTTGTTACTGAGGTAGAGTTTCGAGCCTTTCAGTATCTTGTGGACTTCACCGTGAATGATATCATCGACAACTTGGGCTCATAACGTGGGTTTACTCGCGATTGAGCGGAGCGACGGGGAACTCCATTCGCGCTCATCAAAAGCGCGCAGTGCCGTGTGGGGCGGGCATCTTCCCTTGAATCATTCAAACACCGTTTGTCTTCTCGGGCCCCGAGACTCGGGGAATCCGATGTTCCCTGAAGACGAGCTCGTGAAGCAGGTTAGGCTCAACCAACTGGAACAGTCGTACGAGGATGACGACGACTCAGATGATATAAGCATGAGTATCCAAGTCCGCGCTGTGTCTTGGACTAAGGTGAGCTTGAGAACCGGCTACGACCCGTAGGGATGCGGCATCCCGGAGCTTTAATTGGTCGAAATTGGTCGTGTGTTAGACGAATTAGAACTTGCGTTTCCAAATTCATAGATTTCATTTACGAGCTTGGACTCTTATTTTCGACCAGAGAACCAGTACAAGACGTACCAACCTAGGGATTATAACCGAGGCTGAATCGAACTCACTCAATTTGAGGACAGTTAGGCTCAGGGGCCTGTTTCACAAGAAACGTTCCTTAAGGTGCACCTTGAATTTAGGAGCAAGGAGCCTTACACCTTACGCGAGGCGCTTTCACTACAGTTCCACCTCATGCTCTTTATGCTCCTAAATTCAAGGTGCATCTCGTGAACCCCAATAAGGAGCACGAGGAGCACCTAAACCCATACGGACGCGCATTAACAACTCGACACAGTGCTTCGATAGAGCTCTCTCAAAAGTCCTACTGTAAGCCATTTGCCCTGACAAGTTGTACGGGTCAGGGCAAATGGCTAGTACGGTGGTTGTGCGGTACAACTACTATTATGCACGCGGAAAGCTTGAATGAACACTTAAAACCGTAAGGTACCTTACAATTTTTGCTCCTTATGAGGGCTTGTGAAATAGGCCCCAGTACACTCCTTGGTGACCGTTACGGAATCTGAAACCGTCAGATACGTCGAGCACAGGTACTCATCCTGTGCACTCGTCATTCCTAGGCCCACGCTAACCGCGGTGACCACGGCGTAGTCACTACGCAACCCTGTGAATCTCGGATTAGGTCCTCCTTTTATCATGGTCAGTGGCCGTTGGTCACATGCGCCATCCCGAATCCAAACTCTAGTATCACACCTATTCACAGGCTAAAACACAACTACGTGAGATGCACACAATGCGGAGGTTTTCATTGTACATGGCAACAGCGAGACATCATCGACGTCTTGAACTCAGCTGGCTTCATGGACGATGACGCAGCATCAACTTCTGAAGTTGTAGGCATGTCCTCTGCAGCCGATGGAGACTTCTGCATAACCCATCCACTCTCCTGCCGCATCGGCTCGCCAGGCAACTGCTGCGCATAACCGATGGATCGAGTTGTCGCTGGACCTTGCTCTGTGGCCCATCTGACTGCTCTCTCATTCCTCTCTCGCCTCTCCTCCTCCCTCAACCTCTCAGCCTCAACTGCCGCTGCCGATTCTCCATACACCTGAGCTATCTACTCCATGTCCACAGCAACATCCTCACCTCAAGAGCAATTGCTTCCTCCTGAAGGATAGATAACATCTCTCGCGTTAAACAAGGTGTGAGATGGATATCTCTTTCATAATCAAAGACGAAGACGTCCTCAGCCGATCCCTTCATCCGAATACTGAATGTCACAGAAATCGCCCTATGCCTGCGGCAATACCCACATGGTATCCTCATCATCCAACTGCCACCTATAGCGGACCGTTACGTTGTTCGCCAGCTCTTTTGGAGTGAGACAGGATGCCTGCTTGACCACCAAACGAAAGGACAATGGTTGCCCGACGAGTTGTGATGACTCCTCCACTATCTGACCACGAGAGAGTCTTCCTTGATCTCCTCAGTCCTCCTCCCCCACCTCCTCATCGGGTACAGTAGTACTACTACCATCTTTCGACAGAGGCCACACAGCGCACTTGAGTGTCCCTACCGCCGGTAGGCTACCGGGCATCCTGTTGATGACGACATCACCTACCCCAGTACTGCTCATAAAGAGCTCACGTCACCCTACCTTGGCATCCAGCTCGTTCTCTAACTGCATCGTGAGAGACTCCAGGGAGATCCGTGCTATGCCTACCTCCCTCTCCAAAAAGACAGGATCCCCGAAAGGGTCATCCTTATCCTGGAGCCTGGAGACATAACAACATGAATGACAGCATAGGGAACAAGACGTGCTCATCTATATAGCGTTGGCCCTCCTCACACCACGTGTCGAACATATCCCTCATCAAGAACACCCGATTCTCCAACGTCTCAGGAGTCCACCCATAAACTCGCAGACCTGCTAGCACTACTACGAGGGGGTGGATGAGCAGACACACCTCGATAGTCAACACCGACCAAGACTTCAGTGGTCCTCCTCTCTGCGCCTTCTGATGATCTCACTGACTTCACATGCAGTACCGTATTGAACCTATTATCACGACTCCTACAAGGCGTCTTTCTTGGCATCCCTCATCACGTATAAGGCCTGGCCATCTCCTTCGCTATCAGCGTTGCTTCCCTACACAGGGGCATCGTCAGCATCAACCGCTCATGAAGAACTCTCGAGTCGACCTCCTTCCATCTTCGCTCCGCCTGGACTCGTGAAGATACTATACCATCATTTTCCCCACTCCTGCACACCTCTGCCTCCTCCAACCCTTTTTGTTTCCTCATCATAGCCTCTCTCTCCCTCTCCGCCTCCTTCCTCTCAGACTTCAACTGCCTCCTCAACCTCTGCAACTCTTCCTCTCCCCCTAATATCACCTACCACTACCACACCACCGCACTACTATCACCCTTCTGCGACTGCATTTCCTGCAGCCTAGCCTCATATTCCTCCTCCCTTGCCTTAGCCTCAGCATCAGCCTTCGCCCTCGCCTCTTCAGCCTCCCGTATCGACATCTCGTATCTACCCCAAACCACATCACCACCACACACCCTAACCGACCTACTCTTCCTGTCGTTTCCTCTCCGTCGTCTCGGCTTCAGCCACACTTCTCCTCCTCATGTACCCACTGCTTACATCACCCTGCTTGGCCGCCAACTCCTCCATGCAATCCTCATAGCTCACCTACTCCGTACTTCTACTTCCTTCCTCTCCCCCTACCACCACCACCTCGCCATGCTCTATCAGCTCCTGCCCACTCTCCTCCCTAGGGTCCACATATACGAAGTTGTAGTTATTCTGACGACCTAGGACGACGCGGTCTCCATGGTGTAATGGGAGGGGATCCTGGATCGACTCGTGCATGATACACAGCTTATCCTCGCCCTACCCCATGCGGAATCACATCACCATTGAGATAGCGAAACGCCTGGCCAGCATAGGCCTCTTTATCAGCCTGATATGACCAGCAGGAGCGAGCCACAGCCAAGACTGATCCTACCCTTATGGTTGCCTCTCCGTCCCTCACAGTGATGCACACGAGGTATCTTACCAGGAGGGATGAGCACCATAGGATTCGCCCAAACTGACGGACCTATGCACGAAGCCAGCACCTGTTAGAAGATACTTCGCCGGCCCTCGGAGATCCTCATCATCCCCCTCTGAGCTCTCTATACTCCCCCTCCTCTTCTTCCCACCAAACCAGTTGTCCCCATCAGTAAAGGCGTAAAAGAATTTCTCTGAGCACTCACCGAGCGTTGCCTCCTCTCCTGCTATTCTCACCCGTCAACATAGGGTCCTCATTGAGGTTGGTTAAATGAGGTTGCGTGAGATCAAGCAGACCCTGTAAAGTACCCTCCGAGGTACTTTACCATTAGGATGGAAATTTCCTTAAAAATATAGCTTGTGAAAGCCGAGCGTCCTAACAGCCTGTTTTTGAGGATAAAGGCATCCTAATATCCTAAATCCTAACGGTAAGGATCCTAATGTCCTAAAGTCCTAACCCAACCTAAGGAAAGGACCCTTGTGAGCGCCATTTATCCTTAAATTGCATCCTAATGGGTTAAAATCCTAACATTAGGACGCTTGTGAAATAGGCCCCAGGATAGGACCATAATTTTGGCACTGTTAGGCGAATCCTTTCAACACAGCCAAACTAAACTAGGGATCAGCGTATTCCTCGTCGTGAATGGCGTCATTCGGAATTCGCCAATGAATCAGTTTAATAGATGAAAACTATTCTACAAGCATAATTTGCCTAAAACTTGTGCGTATTCAGTTTACAACCAGTACTCACCGTAACTTGTCGCTGAAACGTGTTTGCTGATTTTCATGGCATGACGGAATTCCGCGGATGACGGTTGCGTCAACTTGGCAGTTCTTAGTTAGTTCTTAGTTGGAGACTCTCGAAGGTGATACTGAAGTTCATGATGAGGTGTTCATCAATGATGGATCATCATATCAGATAATTTCCGACAGATGACCATGGGATTTTCGTTGCCACCGCGAGCGAGCGGCTCCGAAAAGAAACACTCGTGGCCACACTAGCGTATAGTATACGCCGTATACTGTGCGGTTCAGTGCAGAGTACGGAGCCCTGCTAACGTGTGACCATGCTATACCGTTAGTATGATATCATTTCGTTACGGTTCTACTGTGTTAAGGCTGTTATATTGCTTTGTACGAATCATGGTCTTTGCATGCGTGTTGTCTATTATTCATGCGTGAACGCGGGCGTGTCACGCACTTTAAGTTTCAAGGTTGGTTCTGAAGTTTGAATCTTCCCTTGGAGCCTGGACTTAGGTCACGGTCTAAGGTATACGTTTTTATTATTGTATACCCGCTAGTGGCTACGCTTCCATCAACAGCTGAGGGATAGTATACGGTATTTGTCAAGTGACAGATATTGAGTTCAATAAGTTATTCATGGTACTGACTAGAAGTGGTAAGAGCTCTAATACTATGGTGGATTACACTGACCATCCTATACCCGTGTCTAGGATTGTTCAGGTCAGGGGTTATGCCTCTCATAAGGTCTGTGAGAGGCGGTATGTCATACCGGGTACGAGCAGTCAATTGAGTCTGGTTTGAGTTTGGGTCTCGAACACTCTGCTCACCATGCTCTGGATTGCATGGACAACAGTCTAGCCCTCGCAGAAGCGCATAGGTATATCTCAGCACGAATCGAATAATCTCAACTTGAGATTCTCAAGTAAAGATTCTGGTATCATCTCCCGCATATTTTGGAACCATATTTGTTATCCACTGATATAAACTCAATACTGTTAAGAAACTGAATCGGGCTTAGTAATGTTACATGACTGGATGAATGAAAAGAGTGAAACAGTGATGAGTCATCAATTTATGGACTCCATAAAATTTATGGCGATTAAAGACTAAGCATAAATAGTCTTTAATCGCCACTTCGCTCTGCTGGTTGCATAATCTCTTGTCTGGTGGTATAATCTGTGTCTTTCGACGACTAGGCAAAACCCGTATACTCATGAATCATACCAAATCGCGGAAATCAGTACCCAGCAAGATTTGCTGAATTCCTCCATGCGTAGGTGTTTTACCAACCATTT